CCTCAAAGAATGATGTTTTGGGTTTTCACACAATTTAAGAAAAAGCAAAATTTATATTTTTTATTTTTTTTTGTTACTTTAATAATGTTAATTCTACTTCTCTCTTCATTCTATTGGTCTCAAATGAAAGTAATAATGATGTTTTTACAAAACATCAATCTTTGTGGAACAAGATAAAAAACCAAAACATCAACTATGAGGAACAGAGGGAGTATATTATAGTAGTAAATTATTTTAGTATTTCAAATATATTATTTTAATAATTTTTATATAATTTTTTTTTTAAAAATTTAAACTACAATATATTTTATTTACTATAATTTATATTACAAATAAACTGAAATGAGGTGTTAGGGCAAGAAGCAAAAACGAAAACGCACAGAGCCTCCCTCCCCTCCGTCTCACCCATTGTCGTCGTCTTATCGAAGAAGAAGACACAGAAAAAACTAGACAGACACATTGTGAAGATAGAAAAATGGAGAGAGCTGCAATTCTCCCGAGTGTGAATCAAAATTACCTACTTTGCCCTTCACGCGCCTTCTCCACGCGCCTCCACTCTTTCTCCTCTACTCGTAACTTCTCGCCGCCGTCACTTTCCTCCATCAAGGTCAACTCTTTTCTCAATCGATTCCTAAACTCTTATCATCTTCTGATTTATCTAACCCATTTCTCCGATTCTCTTCACAGCTTCAACATTCTTCTTCCTCTGTATCATCCAATGTCAGCAATGGTGGAATCTCCCTTACTCGATGCAACGCTGTGCTGTCGAATTCTTCCAGGTTTGTCGGAATCAGAATCTTTGTTTTGGTGGGTATTTGTCCAATTTCTCTCAGGTCCACTTTATATATGTTTTGTTTATCTTGAATTAGTACGGAGGTGTCTGAATTAGCTGACATAGATTGGGATAACATTGGATTTGGGCTTAAGCCGACTGATTACATGTATGTAATGAAATGTAACATGGATGGAGAATTCTCAAAAGGTGAATTGCAACGTTTTGGGAACATTGAAGTTAGCCCATCCGCTGGTGTTCTCAACTATGGACAGGTTTGTTTCTTAGTTTTCTTCAAAGTCATGTCCTTTACTGTATTGAGTTGGATCAAACCAAACTTAATCAATGAATCAAAGAAGCTTGTTTCTGTGAGATTAAGGTTAAGGGATTTGAAAATATGTGAGTAATTTTTTTATTTTGTTTCCTTGTTTTTTAAAGTCATGTCCTTTACTGTGACATGTTATATGAAATGAGCTTAATCTGTGGCACTCGATACAAATTTAGGAGGTTAAGGCAAGGATTTCTGCCATCTACTGACTACTGAATCTACATTTATCTATTGCGCGGAAAAATACTTCTTATATCTGCTATTGATGATGACCGATGCCAAGGAATGTGTTGTAGTTGTGATTGGAATTTAGGATTGTATGAGTCTTATTAGTGTATGTTCTTTTGTTGCTTGTTTGTAGGGATTGTTTGAAGGGCTAAAAGCTTACAGAAAGGAAGATGGTAATAACATCCTTCTCTTTCGTCCTGAGGAGAATGCAAACCGTATGAGAAATGGTGCTGAGAGGATGTGTATGCCTGCTCCAACCGTTGAGCAGTTTGTTGAAGCTGTGAAAGAAACTGTATTAGCAAACAGACGTTGGGTAAGGAATCACACAGTTTCTTTTGCCAGATATGCAGAGGAAATTATCTAGATTTTTGTTTGCTTCTGTGACTTTAACGTGCATGTGATGTCTTGTTTTTAGGTTCCGCCACCAGGTAAAGGTTCCTTATATGTTAGACCGTTGCTAATGGGAACAGGAGCTGTTCTTGGTCTTGCGCCTGCACCAGAATATACTTTCATTATCTATGTTTCGCCTGTCGGGAACTACTTCAAGGTCTCTTTCGATCAATTCCAGCTATCTAAGATTTGTTGTATGTTTCTCTGAATGATGATGCGGATTTATATAATGATGTCAGGAAGGTGTGGCACCGATCAATTTGATTGTGGAAAATGAATTTCACCGTGCAACTCCTGGTGGTACCGGTGGTGTTAAAACCATCGGCAATTATGCTGCAGTAAGTAAAAGCTGATTTCTTAAATATCATTTATTTTATTTGGACCAGCTTTTGTAACTCACACATACAAGTTATTATTTAGGTACTGAAGGCACAGTCGATTGCGAAAGCCAAAGGATATTCCGATGTTTTGTACCTTGACTGTGTTTACAAAAGATTTCTTGAGGAGGTCTCGTCTTGCAATATTTTCATCGTGAAGGTAAGGAAAAACCAATCGTTCGGAATCTGATGATGCCTTGTAGATTCTATAAGATGTCTCTCCTCCTAAGACGTAAGAGATGAGAATAAGACTCTGGCACCATCTTTTTTTGGGGGCATTTACAAACATATCAAGATACTGATTCTCTTACATTATGATTTCTTAACAACAATTTTCTTTGCCAGGACAATGTGATCTCTACTCCAGAAATAAAAGGAACCATTTTACCCGGGATCACACGAAAAAGTATAATAGACGTGGCTCGAACTCAAGGGTTTCAGGTAATTTCTCCCCTTCTTCTAATTCTAAACAATACTCACATCTTTAAAGTGGAATCATAGTACAATTATTGGCTTCTGATCACAGTGCATGTTTATTCGGTATCATTCAGGTGGAGGAACGGAATGTGACAGTGGATGAATTATTAGAAGCGGATGAGGTTTTCTGCACAGGAACCGCCGTGGTTGTCTCTCCCGTTGGAAGTGTTACTTACAAAGGCAAAAGGTAAAACGTTTTCCCTTTGTATCCCCAGTTTATATGAAAACCAAACCTACAAAGTGGTAAAGCTTTTACGTTTTTGGTATGCCATAAGGGCTAATTTTTTGTTTTCCGAATACACACGCAGAGTGTCTTACGGAGAAGGTACCTTCGGAACAGTCTCGAAGCAACTCTACACCGTTCTGACAAGCTTGCAGATGGGTCTGATTGAAGACAACATGAAATGGACTGTGAATCTAAGTTAAGCCAGGCAAATGCATTTATCAATTCGGCTGCTTGGTTTTGCTTTCTTTTATTTGGTCTGTGATTCTGATTCGTGAATCTATAAGTTGGATTGTTTAGAATCTGGTTGATCTAGAACTTAGCTGGTTCAAAATCAGTAAATGTTGTTACATCACACATGCACACCAATAATATTATCTTTACGTCTCTGTTTTTGATTACATCCAATGGTTTCTCTAAAGTCTAAAACAAGAACCAAAGTAATAACTATCTCTTTCAGATTCAAGCCAAAACTTATCAGACAGCAAAAAAGTTAAGCAATAACAACCCATAATTTTTGTTTAGATTGGGTCGAGCTTCTTATTTTATTTTCCCATAAGTTTGATGGATCAAGCAAGTTTGATTCGAATCTCTAAGAAGCGTGGACTTGTTACGACCTGAAAAGATGTCATGATTATCTCATGATTACGAGATAATATTATGTCTTATCTACTAAACTAATATACAAAAAAAAGTAGTGAGGATGACTTGAATTACTGAAGTCTTATAGAGAAAATAGAAAAAGAAAGGAGATAGAGAGGTCAGAGGTGTGTTTTTCATGGGAACAACCTTTTTTTCACCTTTAGAGTACTTCCAAAAGACTTATTGGGTCCTTAATTAAAGTAGCAAAAAAGATCAAATCATTAAAGAGGTTTTTTTTTTTTGTATAAAAATGCCTACTCAAATTTTCAAACCTCTTCTTTTAGCTCTTTGATTTCTTTTTGGGGTTAATATTTCATATTAATGTAAAACTACAATAATTGTATCGATCATTCTATAATCATTAATATTATGAATTTTTTGTCAGCACCATGCATTATGCTAGTTTAAATAAATTTAGGTGATGATATAGGATATTTTAAGTACAAATCAATAAGGGAGATATTCTTATGTCTTTATCTAACTTTATGAATTTGTGTTATTTATATGTTATGAAAATTGGAAAAGAAGAGATGGCCTACGCTACAAGACCAATTCCTACCAATGGGCAATGCTGTTGAAATCTGAACAAAAATTTTCCTTTCTTTAACCCTTAGCTTTAACTTTATTTACTTTTTCAGTGATAAACCTTTATAACTTTCATATAAATGACGTATAAACAAACCTCAATAATTTGAATCGCTTATGACTTTATTACTCCAAGTGCTTTGACTTTTAAAACCCTAATGTACAATCTCAACTTAAGTCAACCTTTTTTCGTTCGTCTAGAAGAGTCGGTCATTAAGTATACATTAATCATATTGACATCTTAAATACTCGAAAGTTAATACAAATATTTCTATGTGACAACCTGAACATGGTGCATATAGAATCGTCTATCACATATTTTTGTAATTACTGTTATAGAATCATTTTACAATTGTTCATCGTGATTATTAAGATCAACATCTGTAATATAATAAAAAGTACTGTATTATCTTTCTTATTGTTTGAAACTAGGATTCAAATATGGGATCCCAGTTAAGTAATATTTGATATCACTCTATAGACAGTACTGTATTATCTTTCTTATTGTTTTAATCTAGGATTAACAAGTTTACCGGTTCCGGGGTAGAATTTCTTCGGTTTGGCAATTTTGTTCACCTACCATAACGAATTTTTACTCTTATATTTAGTTTCAATCTACTTTTGGTGCATATCCTTTCGTTTTCAACTGCAAAGACGTAGTTAAAAGTCCTATACATTACATATTTAATTTATCATAAGTAACTTAGTGTAATAAAGCTAAAGTGATGTATTAAATATTTAATAGTATTTCATGATTTGAAAGAAAAAAATTGAATTTGTACATATCAAGAAGAAATTAAGAGAAAATTCTTTGACGATACTTGCTTGTGCAATAGTCTTCCTTATCTTCTCTACCATTTTTTAATTCCACTATTGTATAGTATATAATTATGTTGAATTATAAAAACATTTCAATTTCCCTAAAGTTACTTTTTGATTTTTTATTTTTATTAGAACTTTCCTACTTTTTGACATCTTTTCTTACAAAGACTTTTTGACATCTCCTCCAGCTATTATATAGTCTCTTTTTTTCTTTTCTGCATTCACATAATATTTCCCCTATATAGTTTACACAACATCATACCCACCAATATATATTATCTTGATCATAGAGAGATAAACAGAGACAGATATCAATAACAATACTTAGACCAAGATCAAGAACAAGACATCACTAGGAGTACTAGAAGAATGGGAAGAGCACCGTGTTGTGACAAAGCAAACGTGAAGAAAGGGCCTTGGTCTCCTGAGGAAGATGCAAAACTCAAATCTTACATTGAAAAGAGTGGAACAGGAGGCAATTGGATCGCTTTGCCTCAGAAGATTGGTATTAAATAAATTCATAGTTACTCCTTCTCTATTCATATATATTTGATGATATATTCTCTCTTTGATCCATCTATCTCATGTGAAGAAGAATTAATAACTAATATGCTTTTTGTTTATCTGATTATTTCTTGGTTGGTTTAAGGTTTAAAGAGATGTGGGAAGAGTTGCAGGCTGAGGTGGCTTAACTATCTGAGACCAAACATCAAACATGGTGGCTTCTCTGAGGAAGAAGAAAACATCATTTGTAGCCTCTATCTTACTATTGGTAGCAGGTACTATTCATATACGTTTATTCATCTATATATCGACAAAATATCATGTAGAAACTCTTAAAGTAGTTATGTGATGATTTCTATAATTTAAGGTGGTCTATAATCGCTGCTCAATTGCCGGGACGAACAGACAACGATATAAAAAACTATTGGAACACGAGGCTCAAGAAGAAACTTATTAACAAACAACGCAAGGAGCTTCAAGAAGCTTGTATGGAGCAGCAAGAGATGATGGTGATGATGAAGAGACAACAACAACAACAACAAATCCAAACTTCTTTCATGATGAGACAAGACCAAACAATGTTCACATGGCCACTACAACATCATCATGATCAGGTACCAACACTTTTCATGGATAAAACCAACTCGTTTTGCGACCAAGAAGATGCTAAGCCAGTGATCAAGATCGAAGATCAGGAACTGGAGAGAACAAACCCTCATCATCATCAAGATTCGATGACAAACGCTTTTGATCATCTCTCTTTCTCTCAACTCTTGTTAGATCCTAATCATAACCACTTAGGATCAGGAGAGGGTTTCTCCATGACCTCGATCTTGAGCGCCAACGCAAACCCTCCATTGCTTAACACAAGTATTAATGATCATCAGTGGTTCGGGAATTTCCAGGCCGAAACCATCAACTTGTTCTCAGGAGCCTCCACAAGTACTTCGGCAGATCAAAGCACCATAAGTTGGGAAGACATAAGCTCTCTTGTTTATTCTGATTCAAAGCAATTTTGTTAATTAATATATTATTCTCAAGATGAAACGTACATCATTATTATTATTAATTCGGGTAATGCAAAGCTAGCTAGGGTACGTATATATGCAATAACGATCTACTTTGTTTAAATTTATTGATATCTCATATCTCTAAGTTGGTGGGTTTTAAAACAATATATAATTATATATGGATTTGAAATTACTTAAAATGCAGAAGTGGGAAAACTCATATGCTAAAGATCCTAACGAAGCAATCATATTTAGATAGACAAAAATTTGTAATTGTTACTTTATTTAAAGTAAGAACGTGTAATGTGCATGTATATATATATATATATATATATATATATATATATATATATATATATATATATATATGTATGGATCGGATGCGTATGTGAAAAGAGTTAAGAGTATATTGGGCATGATGTGTTACGTTGTTTCCATATATATAATGATAATAGATAAATTTAGAGCATATACAGTATATACATATACACATACAAAAAAGAGAAATGTTAATGGTGCTTTTGGGTTCTTGGCATATTTACTGATTATATATGGTCGGATCCATATGTATGTGGTTGGATTTATTGATTGTATGTCTTTTTTTTTTAATTGATCGTATGTTCATCCTACTTTTTCGAATAATTTTTGTTTAATTAGGATTCGTTAGGGTTATTACCTAACCATTTGACCAAAGAAAAGTTTTGATTACCAAATAAATGGATGTGTGCAACTCTGAACTTCTCAAAGACATGACCTGCCTCTTCCTAGCAAGTCACTAGTCTGTTTCTTGTTTCCTCACAGAATCAAATGATTATGTCATACGAAAATTCTCTTTCCCTTACGAGTTTGGCACATTCGTCATTTCGTTGCCTATTCAAAAAATCAAATCAAATTGAGAAAGTCCTAAAGTGACACTGTCGCTTGAAATATATTTATTAACACTTGAATTTGACGTGTATATTCATTCCAAAAAAAAAAAGAATTTGACGTGTATGATTTTCGATAACTTGAATTTAGATAAAAGCATGACATTTAAATACACGTACATACCTAATTACTTAATAAATGCATGAGTTTCTTGTTCCCGTCAATTTTTCCCGTCTGATAAATCTTAGAAATTAAACTTGTGTTCACCACAGTAGTCCTACACACATCTATAGAGAGAGAATAGTTAAAAAAAAAGATCTTTTGTTGATCAAACAATCCGGTTCTAGAAGGCTAGTAGACTAGCTAGACTTCACGGTTCAATAGAAATAGATAATTATGTTTGATCTTCATATATGCACTTCTATATATATATAAGAAAAATGAGAAGATATATATAAATGACGCTTTCAAAGAGTATATTACAAAAACAAATGCATCAATTTTACCAAAAAAAAAAAGAGTAATACAAAAGTAGTCTCTGAAAGAAGCCATTGAATGTTCCTAACATTCTCTTCAAACAGCAAAATGACAAACATAATTATGCAATTATTCGCCTTTAATTTAATATTTATAAATCACGCACCATATATTCACTAAATAGTAGTAAATATCATATCGTTTCATCCAAAATTAAGAATCTTATTGTTGCATCACATACTGCCAAACAATATATTGGATACATTAAAATATCAAGAATCTTATATGTTTTTTACTTGTATATGAATGTCGTTGAAAGTTTCAAAGTACACTTCGTTATCAAAATTTCAATATATGTCTTCCAATGATGTCCTAATTTTAAGACGCGTGGAAAAGTTCTTATCCTAATGTACGTATCTCAGTATTTTATGTAATTAGTTAATAGTATATTATTAGTTGTGATTTAGGAAAAAAGGGACCTAGTAAGTGATGAAAATCATACTCGTAGGCCACTTGCATTAGTGATTCAGTGGATTGTAGAACGTGTCATTGGCATGCGACATATTCACATAATATATTCTTTGAACCATTTTTCATTTACCTACCAAAAAACTAAATTATTTTTCAAAGTGTAAAACATAAATGTCATAATAATTAGAAAGTCTATTGTTATATAATTCCCACATTTGCCAAAGCTAGCAACGTAAAATGCATATTAAAGTATATGTCAAGTGCATGTCAAATGAATCGAAAATACAAGTAATCTTTTTAAAAAAAACTACTAAAACATATATATATATATATTAAAGAAGAGAGATCTTTCTTTATTTCACTTTGATTACTTTTTTTTTTAAGCTGGTTGTTTCTCTTTGTTGGACATTTGAAGTTAGAATAAACAAAAAAGAAGCAAGAATTTTTTGTACATCCTATAATATATATATATATGAGATTAACAATAATCGATATGTATAGTAGCAAAACCAACGAAACCACTAAAGTTTTCGAGTCTCCCTTTCTAGACGATTATGTGATCCGAGAGCATATATTTTACTGTTAAAAGCTTCATTATATAAGTAAGAAAATATCGAAAAAAATTGATGGGTTGCGTGCGTCTCTAGTTCTTTAATTATGATATTAGTTATTTAAAAGAAAAAAAAAATGACAGCCAAAAGACAGCAGTATTTAATAACTTTTAATAGTCTAAATGATAAAACGAACTGGTTTATTATACACACCAAAAGAAAATTAACAAACATTTACATACTATTATTTTAATTATATAGTTTATAACTTGATTATTCATCTTATTCATAAATGGCCGAATCTTTTATATAATATATTATCTTCGTATAATTGGGTCAAGCTATAAAGCAATAAAGAAGGAAAAGAGAATAATAACGGAGAAGAAGAAATCAAGAATATAGGAACGAAAACTATTAGTATAAAATTAAGTGGATTAGATTAAATAATCTTAAGTAATAGATAACTAATTATACATTCTGTCAAAACCCCTCGACGTTATAAAAACAAAGCCATGTAAAACATTGATTGGCTCGGCGCGCGACATATAGCTCCATGACAAATAAAAATGAATTATATTTATTTGCTTACATACAATTAAAAGACTTTGTCAAATAAAAATAGTCAAAAGGACTTCTTACAACATATAATTAATTTTGATTCAATAATCCAGCCAATGTCGACACTCACTAGAAGAAAGTTAATTCTGTTTCCAAAGTTTTTCTTTAGAAAATTGTCCTTGTCTTAAGAAAAGGAAATTTGGACGTCAAAAAGAAATAGAAGAAATCTGTTTCTAAAAGAAGATATTGACACTTTTTTATTTGTGGGAACGGAATTTTATTTTAGTTAAAAGGAATAATCGAATTGTTTTAGTGTTTAACGATTTCTTATCATATGGTAATGGTATACAGAACTGAATTTTATTAAATATGCATGTGTCGTATACTACATACTCTTTTTTCTTTTTTTTTTTTCTTTTAAAATGGAAAATTTATTAATCAAGAAAAACCTTTGTTACAACTTACAAATGCATCAGTTTCGAAGTAAAAGTTTGAACTTTCATCTTACAACCTTAATTTCGAGTAGAAAACTAAAGAATATGAGAAGGTCTGCATATTTCCGATTGCCAGAGTTTTGGAGAAGTTCCATGGAAACTTCACAGTTGGTTGTCTCTAACTTAGAGACAATGATGTTCATTACACACTGTATATAGTAGACTATCTTGCTAGAGAACCCTAATTACATGGGCTATTCATGGGCTTGCTTGTTTCATAGGTTGAATTTGTTGACACTTAAATGGCTTGTGTTTAGGATCCTCTAATAGTTCACTCTCTCTATATATTACCTTGGCATAGATAAGATAGATAGAGAGCTCTAAGATCTGGTTTAGTTTGTTTTTTCGGGTTCTTTTTGTAAGGCCTCCAAATTATTTTTCCCTTTAGGCCCCACCAGTTTTAGTCCCCCCACCCAATATATATGGTGAGTGTCCGTTTTTAAATTATTAATCGAAAACTGATTACGAAAATACAAGGCTTTTATGGCCCAAATTTATTTGTTAATGGCCCATCATGCATAGGTATAATTATTTTCTATTGTACGTTCATGGCATGTGCAAGTTGTGGCCCAAGCTCATGAAACCCATGTGACTGCATTTTGTTTTTTCAACCATGTGATTGCATTCTTTGTTCAAATTTTACATGTTAATGAGTTTTTTTTTTTTAAGAAAAAAAAATTCAAAATTAAGTTTTATATCGAGCATGTTGACGAGAATTTATTTTATCTTGGACAAATATGTCAAATAATGACGAGACATCAAATATGTGAATCTACGATTTCGATCTATCGTTATAAAACCAACCGACCATTTTGCTTTTGGTTATAGATATTTGTGATCTAAATCATATCGAGATCCACCTCACAAATCTCAAAATTTAGTAATATACGGTCGATAATACAGAGGACAAATTCTGGTTGGGTCGTATGCAATTAATAACAGCATTGAACATAAAATTCTCAAATCATATGAATATCAACCAAAATTCTCAAAATCAATTTTACGTATCTATATTAGTATTTCTTTATCTGGAAAATTCCTTATATGTTATACAACCCAACGACCACTATAATGCTCCTCACATGTAATGATTATTTGTCGTCACGGCCGATTTCTCCGCGTTTCATACAAGACAGGAACAAAATCGTCATATTTGGATATGTTGTTAAATCTGCGTAGTATATATTCGATCGTAGTAGTACCAACAAAGGTTACAAAAGCACATGGAATTTTTGGAATAATATATATTTTGAAGATATTAATTATATCATGTCTACATAAAGCATCATAATCTTTGACCGGTATATGATAAATTGATAATGATCGTCTACAATTTGAATAATATTACGATTCATATTATATGTTTTGGATTCATGAATTACTATTAATGAGAAGTTGACAAAAATAATATATAGCTATTAATGAAAAATTAGTTTTTCTTTCTAAAATCCAAATGATGACCAATAGTCATTTTCTCAACCTGAAAAAAATAAATATTGACTGATATGAAATGTTTGTAGGTTTCTAACTATCGTCTATCGTAGCCTATATCATATTGCTCTTGTTGTAATATATAACATGTAAATTTTTTCCATAGTATAACATGTAATTTATATTTTACAATAGATAGTTGTCGTAAACAAAAATCTTTTTTTTTCGTAAACAAAAAGTCTAATTTAGGTGGTTCGTTATGGACTAAACCTTCTAATCT